CCCCAAAACCCCAAAACCCCAAAACCCCAAGTCGAATCCAAAATATTGAATTAACTCATCTTTACATGATTGCAAAATATCAAAAACAGAGTTGCTCCGAATCCCAAAATGAGGCCAATATATTGAAAAGTGTTCGGGAACCTTGAGAATAGAGCAATCTCAAGTACAGTCTGGTAGATCACAGATGTCTCAATAAGAGCATCGGCTACACCTGCCTTGCCTCTTACATTTACATAAGCTATCAAGTATCTAGACACGCTGAAGATGATCCCACCAGCAGTTGCAGCAATGTATTCATGAAGAGTGAAATCAAACCCTTCTACTTCTAAAATTATGAAATAAATTAGGAACACGATGTCACTAAACACTCCGATAAAGTTGAAAAAGGCAGAGATGTTAACTTCTTTGGCAGTCCCGAAGAAGTATTTCAAAATGGCTGCCCTCACTCATGTTAGCACCAAGGAAATACACAAAGTTGAACACGCAAGTATGCAATAAGTTTTGGCGGTTTCTCCTGTACGATCTACAATTTGATCATCACTTGATAATCCAATTATCAAGGCTCCAGCAATACAGAACACCATTGCAATAAATTCATACGATTTCAAAGCCTGTTTGAATACCAAAAAGAATATGATTGAAGATACCACAGGCTTTACAGAATAAATAGACATCAGCACTCCTGTATTCAAATGAGCAATACCTGCAAAACTAAAATGAAGTTAAGACCTGAGAGCTTACCTGTAGCTTAAGATAAATATTAGATAAGAAATAAACCCAAACAAAAGAAGACAAGCAGAGACTACAACTCTTTTCCATTGAATCTGAGTTGTCCACTGGTTGGGAACATAGTTTCCATCTCCATCAATCTTTCTGAACAAGAAGACATCGTATAACCATTTAAGGTAACCCCCAGTCTGTTGGTGTTGATCTTTTTCTCGTTTCTTTGAATATATAGATATCGCAATAAGTGGGATAAGATTACCAATAAGGCTTCCAACTGCTTGAAGAGCAATTGCTTTTTGCCTATACTGTGCAATGTAACTAACAGAAATATTAGCAACAGCATAAAGTACAGCAACTACTAAAGATAAAGGAACCCAAATTTTAGGAGAAACCTCTCCTTTCTCGTCTTTCAAAGTTGTTAAAGATCTTTCTTCAGGAGCAGTTTCATCAGGTCGAACGCTCGCCAGTTTAATTAATGGAGACTCATTCACTGATGCCATTGAATTACGCATTTTTAATTTATTATTAAAATTTCAATAAGATGTTATAATCTAGGGGTTTTGGGGTTTTGGGGTTTTGGGG